CAACTGAAACGTACGTGTGAAAAAAACTGAGTAGTTCAAAGAGTATCCAACTTTAACCTACTTTACTGTATTTCTCAACTTATAATCCAACTGAAACGTATGTGTGAAAAAAACTGAGTAGTTCAAAGAGTATCCAACTTTAACCTACTTTACTGTATTTCTCAACTTATAATCCAACTGAAACGTATGTGTGAAAAAAACTGAGTAGTTCAAAGAGTATCCAACTTTAACCTACTTTACTGTATTTCTCATTACTCATCTATAAAATAACTTGAGACTGAAATAAATTTACATAGCTAGCACTGTTAGATTTTGAATGACAGTTTAATTTAGATATAAAATAGACTTGGAAATTAAGAGGGTCTCGTAATATTAAAGATTGTTAAAAATGGTACACTACAAATTGTACTTTAAATAGCTGTAAATCTTTATTTTTACATATTTACTAAGTTTGACTGCTGAATAATAACGAGTAATTAATTGTAACAGTATGTCTCATGTTATCCAAACACTTGTATTTTAGGCTATTAGTTACGAGTAAAGAACTATACATAAAAACCAAACAAACTACACTATATAAGGCCTACTTTGTACTTCCAAGCAACATCGATAAATTACGAATTCAGTTTCCTGCAGAAGAAGTAATGAATCAAAGAATAGATTAGGCCTCTACATTATTTTTTCTTTACTGAAATTTACGATTTTTGTGAAGAAAAGAAATTCACAAATAAGTCTTTATTAATTAATGAATAAAAACTCACTATACAGTCAAACCACAAATATTTCAAAGTCAGAAAAACACGCATAAATCCAAGAAGAACTAACAATTTTAAAGTAACATGGAACTCTTAATCATTCAGAATAATGACAAAGATAAAGAGATTTTGAACAACGCTTTATTACAAAGATAAAAAAGCAGTATAAATTATATTTTCAGCACCTGACAAGAGTTTGGTTGAGTTCATCCTTTAGCTTAGTCAGGCGACCCTGAACTTCTTCAAGCTGAAGTTTTTTCTCGTTCAGCTGCTCTTTAACATCGTTTAATTCTGTTTCTATTCTCCTCTTTACGCGTTCCATCTCTTGTCTCACCTGTTGGATGTAAAAATTTCAAACAATAAAACCATTCAAGTCTCAAACAACAGTCAATGAAATCAGTAACACTATAGGAATTTAAAATGGCAGAGCACACTGAATAAAGAGGTTTCTTGATGAATAAAGGTATTAGCAGATAAAGGGGTTGTCATTTTTTCTCATTTACACATCCAGAAAATGATGGAAATATCAGGAACATGTATTATGAATGAAGCCACTACGTCTGCCGTGGTATACGAGTTTGGGCACCTAATGTATGTAAAAAGAGGCTGACTGAAAAAAATCCTTCAAAGAACAATGCTCAGAGTACTTTATATCATATAGAAAATTCAAGAAGTGGCCTAGCAAAGGCGAGAATGGTTGCTGCCTTGTTGACATTTGTTTGTTTTTTGAATTTTGCGCAAAGCTACACGAGGGCTATTTGCGCTAGCTGTCCCTAATTTAGCAGTGTAAGACTAGAGGGAAGGCATCTAACCATCACCACCCAATGCCAACTCTTGGGCTAGTCTTTTACCAACGAATATTGGGATTGACTGCCACATTATAATGCCCCCACGGCTGAAAGGGCGAATATGTTTGGTGGGACGGGGATTCGAACCCTCAGATTGCGAGTCGAGCACCCTAACCACCTGGCCGATTGACATTTGATGATACTGGGAGGATGTAAGACTGTCTATACATGTAGTATTTTAATGTTAATAACAACAATATTCATACAAAATTCTGTCAGATTAACTCACATGGTTTTCTTTATGCAGACGTTCCTCTAGTTCTGAAATGCTGGATTCATACTTAGTTTTCAGTTTTCCCAAGTGTTTTGATTTCTCTTCTTCCTCAGCCAAAACTTGAGCCAAATCGGCCTGACGTTCTTCAAGGATTTTCTTCTCCTTGACAAGCTGAAAAATTCCAAAAGGAAAGTTACTAGAAAATAAAAACAACTGGTATGTCATTCAACAGATCTGTATTTTCTTGTTCTTTAATCTTCAAACCCGATCAAGTTCAAATTTTTATTTTATTGATTATACATAAGCTTATCAACAGTATTAGGACTTTTATTGGCAAAAAAAATAACTATTTTTCTACTATTACTACTACTACTATACTGGTTATTTTCATAGTCGGAATATACACAAAGAGAACTATTTTAATTCTGTACTAGAATTTAATAATACGTCTTACCTCATGTTCAACATCACAATTACACTTGAAAATACATTAAAAGTTAACCTGTAAGTCAGCTAAAGAACTAGTTTCAGTTTGAAGACTTAAAGCTAATTATTTCAAGTTTTTATGTATGTAATATAAAAATTGTTTTCAACCTCTTTTGGTCCATCCAGAGTATCAACTTTTCATGTTGCAATATGTTTAAACCGTCTTTACAAGATAAGCAACAAACCTTCTGGTTGGTGTCTTCCATGAGAGCGTAATCTTCTTCAAGTTTCTTCACTTTAACATCCAGACTGGATTTCTCCAACTGTAGCTTCTGGTGGGAACCTTCTTCTTCTTCTAGCCTGAGATTATAAAATTGATCCAGATCTTACGAATACAGAACAAAATTTAAAACATCACATGAGTATTCTTTATTTTAAAAACTTAATGTAACAAGTTTTAATTAATATTACTAAGCCTAATATTCAGTATCACTAAGCCTAAAGACAATTGCTGCAGTATAACCAAAAGCTTGTAACTTCAGAAGTTTTCTTCTTTTAACTGGAGAATACCTGTCCAGTTCTTTTCTAATTAGCGTGTTTGTTCAATCTTACAAGGATTGTATTGTCGTAGAAATGTTCATATTTAACTGTAATTAGTGTGTTTGTTCAATCTTACAAGGATTGTATTGTCGTAGAAATGTTCATATTTAACTGTAATTAGTATGTTTGTTCAATCTTACAAGAATTGTATTGTCGTAGAAATGTTCATATTTAACTGTAATGCAAACAGTTTAGCAACTAAAGTTTTTCTAACATTATTATTAAAAATTAACATAATTTTTGAACGAAGCTTAAACAAAAAAGTGAAATAATCGAGACTTTAAAAACATTCAAACTGACTGTTCTTCGAGGTCTTGAATAGATTGTTGCATCTTCTTTTTCTCAGCAAGCATAGTTTGATTTTTGTTTTCTTCTTCTTCAATTCGAGCTTCCAAATCATGGAGAATTTCTTCCAGTTCTTGTTTCCTTTCCAAAAGTCGAAGTCGGCTTTCCTCTGCCTCAGCACACAACTCTGTTTCTGCCGTCAGCTGTTCTGTCAGCATATTCTTTTCTACAATCAACTGAAACAAATCGTATCACGTTGATTGATTTTATAATAAATAATCAAAATCGTATTACACCTTTTTATATTATCAACCATAAACCCATAAAAACCAACTTTACTATCAAATTATATATATAAAGTAATAACTGAGTTTTTTTATTTACTGTATTGGTAAAAAAAAGCTGACATGTTTCATTCGTTACTCACTTGTTGAAATTTCTGATCAAGATCTGTAAACTGGGTTTCGGTCTGTTCCAATTTCTCCCTCACTTCTTTTAGTTCTTCTTCTTTTTCACTTAACTTCTCTTCTTGTTTAGTGACTTGTAGCAAAGGTTTGACCTGTAAATCATGTGATAATTGTTTGTTCATTACAAAAACAAATAGTCGCATCTTATCTCCAACATAATAAACTTTGTTGTCTCAAAGTCTTGCTATAACATCCTCGACTCTGTACATTCATAAAAATTTTTATGGCAACGAAATAAAACTAAAACCTAATTTTAGATTTTTCAGGCAACATTATATGATCAACTGAAAATAGTTACATAAACAGGTTAATCTGATTAGAGAGATTAACCCACCTTTGTGTATAACCTCCACCATGCCCAGTCTCGTAGCTTTAAGTATGAGTTACAGTTTCTTTGTAAAATTCTGATAGCATTTAACTGTTGAACTCGTCTTTGATAATTCCTACAAAAGATTCAACAGAGAGTTAAGTTTTCTACTTTATAACCTTTTCATGGTTGCCATGAAAAACTTCCAGAAATGTTTCTCAGTTTTGCACAACAACAATAATAATAATTTACAATTACCCATAGCCTGTTTCAACTGCCATTTTAATTTACTCACAAAGGACTCTTCAGATCTATAACAAATGTGGGTGGGGAAGTTTTTGGTTTATAGAGCACTCGCATATTTATTACATGTAATCCCTATAATGTTACGTGAACACATGTGAACAGTATGTGTGATGACCAGCTGAATAAAGTGAACATTTACAAAAGACATCTTACATATTTATTACATGTAATCCCTATAATGTTACATGAACACATGTGAACAGTATGTGTGATGACCAGCTGAATAAAGTGAACATTTTCAAAAGACATCTTACATATTTATTACTTGCAATCCCTATAATGTTACATGAACACATGTGAACAGTATGTGTGATGACCAGCTGAATAAAGTGAACATTTACAAAAGATATCTCACATATTTATTACATGCAATCCCTATAATGTTACGTGAACACATGTGAACAGTATTTGTGATGACCAGCTGAATAAAGTGAACATTTACAAAAGACATCTTAGACAACTATTTTTGGTGATACCATTTTATACATTTTTTCTTAAACAGTAAAATCTGAGAACTTTTTAATATGGCTACTACATTATTTGTATCATCAACCGTTCAGGATATTGTCTTGCTGTTCCAAAACAAGGAAAATCCTAAAAGAACATTTATCGTGTGAACAGATAATAGTATTAGCAGATACGAGAAAACTGGTGGGAAATGACAATTAAATCTCTGAAAATTTTTTAACAGACTTACTTTCGAGCTATGTAACCTCGGCAGAACGACTGGAACTGGATTATGAGAGCAGATATTTTTATATCTCTCTCTTCCTCCAGGTGTGCCAGTACACCTGCTCGGAAAAAAATCTTACTCTGTCCAATCCTGTAGTAGTTGGGGTCCAGGTCCAGTGCAAGGATCTGGAAGTAAGAATAGGTGGTTCTAGGTTGGTGGAGATTAAACAAGCATAAGAAGTGTATATATATATATATATATAATAAAAACAAAATGTTAATAATGGAATTAATTCAAAGTAATACAGCACGTAGACTGTATTATCAAATTGTTGTTAAAGCCCTAATAATTAAAAAAGTGTACAACATTAGATGAGATCTTGATACGAATAATTTCAACCAGTAAAAGACTTGTAAAATATCTGTACAATATTGTCTCGGTATGATGGGTTTCATTAAATATTTATGAAGACATAAACAAGGTAAACATGTTTTGATTTGTATTCTTATTTAAAATATAACTTCTTTACTTTATTTTTGTTTACAGACTATCCCAGATATTTTTTTATTACTGGAAGAAATGTGATGTGACACGTTAAACATCTAGAACCACTTCTTGCTCATTCGTTTTTCTAAGCCTTGTAATAAGTTTATTATTACAGTATATATTAACAGTTTACATGATGAAAGAACATGTAACATGATGTAATAACATGTAACATGATTTAACAGAACAACATATTAACAGTTTACATGATGTAAGAACATGTAACATGATTTAACAGAACAACATATTAACAGTTTACATGATGTAAGAACATGTAACATGATTTAACAGAACAACATATTAACAGTTTACATGATGAAAGAACATGTAACATGATGTAAGAACATGTAACATGATTTAACAGAACAACATATTAACAGTTTACATGATGAAAGAACATGTAACATGATGTAAGAACATGTAACATGATTTAACAGAACAACATATTAACAGTTTACATGACGGAAGATTTTTGTTAACTGTTCTAGGATTGATCACCTACCATCTTTTCTGATGCTCGTTTTCCATCCATAAATCCTTTAGGAATAGCATTTGGTGTGAGCAATTCATACCTATAAACGAATAGAACATGCTTGTGTAAAATACCACCATCGTAACCAAAAAGTCAGACTGGATTATTTATCAGATATTCATAGAATAACACGAATGTTGTTGAATGTACAGAGTAGATTCCTGTATTGCAAACAAACACATAAAATCAAACCCTGATACATGTACATAAAGCTTGATTTTGTAGCTGGAACATCACACAATCTACTAAACTTGTATTACCAAATACTTGTTTTTACCTTCTAGAAACTTAACTATGGTTCTTAACACGGTGTTTAATGTCCATTGGCAGGGCAGGCGTGACGTGTTTTGCTGCCTTGTGCAAACACTGACTGTGCTGCCTACTCCCCCCCCCCAAATAATTTTTCCGTGAAATACCTGTAGGCAGCAGCAGTATTATGTTTTAGCAGTAAGCTTTACCATAAAATGGCGATTCTGTTCGGCCATAGAGCAGTTGGTGACCAGAACAACTTTTCTGACATTTTTTGTTGCCCCCAAGAACTTGCCGCCCAGTTTAAATGTGTGTGGTGCATCCCTGGTCATTGTTTTTTTATGCTAAGTGTCCAATATTCTGAAAGTGATGAACAAGTTTGGAAGAATTCAGATGCTCTCCTACCTTTGTCTAAACTCTTGGAAGGGAATTCTGTTAGGAAAACCCTGTCGACAGATTCGAATTCCTTCAAGAACTCCATTACATCGTAGCTGATCCAACACCAGGGGCGAATCTATCTTCCCAGCCTAGAGAGTTAAGTTAATTTAGTAACAAAAATTGAAAAAAATACTTTTTTTATATTAATTCGACACGTAATAACCAGTCTAGTCCTTGTAAAAATAGTTCAATTCTTACTTTTTTCTCATGGTTGGGAATGATACAACGGACAAAATTTGGGTTAGTGTTTCTTAGAGTTTCCATGAGCTTGGATAGTTGATCCTTGTAAAGTTGGCTGACAGTTCGGAACATTCCCTTTCTACTCCGTGCTCCAAACACCGTGTCACTCATTGTGGCAGCTCCGATTCCTACAATATCAGCTAGAAGAAAAATATACGTATTTCAATAACGTCGAACAGTTACTTAATTATAAAAACAGATATTCACAAAAGTCATATACGTATTTCAATAACGTCGAACATCAGCTAGAAGGAAAATATACATATTTCAATAATGTCGAACATCAGCTACAAGGAAAATATACGTATTTCAATAACGTTGAACAGCAAAAGTCACGTACGTATTTCAATAACGTCGAACAGTTACTCACTTATAAAAACAAATATTCACAAAAGTCATATACGTATTTCAATAACGTCGAACAGTCACTTACTTATAAAAACAGATATTCACAAAAGTCGTATACGTATTTCAATAATGTCGAACAGTTAATTACTTATAAAAACAGATATTCACAAAAAGTCATATACGTATTTCAATAATGTCGAACAGTCACTTACTTATAAAAACAGATATTCACAAAAGTCATATACATATTTCAATAACGTCGAACAGTCACTTACTTATAAAAACAGATATTCACAAAAGTCAGCAATCATTAGTAAGAAATATCGGGTTACATAACGAGTCAAAGAAAATGAGCCAGAGAAATACCAAAATTAAATGTAGAATATTTTAAAAAAAACAATGACATTTAAGCACAATCGTTTGGTCTAGCGATAATTATGTCACATCTGTCCATATTTTATACGGTTTACAACTATGTGATAAATAAAAAACATGAAATATAAATGGATAATACATGTCTAACTCATAAGATTACAGTTTATTTATGATTTACTGATTCACAAAGTACTCCGTTGAAATAAAAATCACACAAAATCTGTTAATCAAATTAAAATGAAATATTTTTCACAACACTATACTGTTCAAGTACATTGATAAATTACGTACTTTTACAAACTAAAATCCAATATTTTATCTAAGAACTTTTGAACTGTATATCATCTAGTGCATACTAACCAGTCACACCCAAAAATAGGCAACGATGTACCAAATTATTTACAGTCAAATTTATAATGAACTAATAACAACTTAAAACTTTAGAAAAAAAAAAATGCTTAGGTGTTTCCTACTAATAAATTTTGAAGTTTCTGGAAATGACAAATTGAAAGTCTCAACCTGAACATCAAAAGTTTGTCCACAGACATATAATGACTGTATTAAAAATTACTCCTCATAAACCACTTCTAATTTAAAAGCTCCTCTTTTTTTCTGTAAGTATTTGAGATGTACAAAGATCTTTGTGATAAAATTAAGATTCTGCCTCTCCTCTGTATAGCTACAGAGTCCTTCCAAATTTTGAGACTTGCAGCATTTGAGATGGTGTAAATTGCTTAGATGAAATATTTGACTAGTTACCAGAGTCTTCAGTTGAAATTACATTCACTCTTAGTTTTTTACTTTTTCAGTAATATTCTAACTTTACAGAATACTGTGCTACATTTAAACACCTCTATAGTCAAGTGAACCTTGTGAACCATTTATAAAACAATCATATAAGATCTAATCAATATTTATACAGATTCTTTTATGGGCTATTCAACCCCTTTTCGCATAAAGCCACTCGAGGGCTATCTGCACTAGACGTCCCTAATTTTGAAGTGATAGACTAGAGGAAAGACAGGTAGTTAACACCACTCACTGTCAACTCATGGGCTACTCCTTTACTGATAAAAAGTGTGATCGACTGTCACTGTTAGAGGGGGAGCATGCTCAGTGGCGGGATTCAAACTCGCAACCCACAGATTACAAGTCGAACACCCTAACTACCAGGCCATCTGAAGCCCTCCGGTTTTTTTGTCAAACCTATAATGTAGTTAAGTTATGCCTACCATCTTTCCAAATGTGCATGGTGAATGGGTCTTGTGAAGTCTGGAGTAAAGAAACAATATTCTCATTTACTGGATCCATATTCTTCATGAGCCACTGATTAGCAAGATAGTCCACCTGGTGAGACAAAATCACATTAAATGGCAACCATACTGAGGATAATAATTTACCAGTAAGAATTAATTTAAGTTCACTGGTGGTAAACACTGATGAAGCAACGTCTCTAATTGTTTATTACAAATAGTCCTGGTGATGTCGATACGATACGTAGTAGATTATCAAATATATCTAACATATAACTTGTTGCCTGTGAAAAAGTTATACACTAGTGACATTATAATATTAACTCCTATTTTACCTTTCCTGCATAATGAATAATGCTGAAATCAGCCGATTCTCTGAAGTCCGACTTGACAAACTTAGAATGGTCAATATGGGTGTTGATCAGTTTCTCCACAAGCGTTTTATCCGTTGCTTTAGGAAAAAGACATTGTTCGTCCAGCAGAGCCAAGATTCCCATTGGCTGCCAACGGAAACAGAGTTAGATTATTTAGATACTAAACAAATGACACAAATAAATGTTAAGTTTTATTTCACTAAAATATACTTGAATGAATTGTATCTTGAGAAAGTTTACAACAAGGTAACGTGAACAAACCTTCTCAATGAGATCAATGGTAGGTTGTAGATCCAAACCAAAGTCAATGAACTTCCATTCGATCCCTTCACGTCGATACTCTTCTTGTTCTAAGATGAACATTGTGTGATTAAATAACTGTTGAAGCTTCTCGTTGGTGTAGTTGATGCACATCTGCTCGAAGGAATTCAGCTACAAAGAAAGTCTTTCTATTGAAAACGCAAAATCACGATCGCCAATTTCATACATAAACACTTGTAGTGTTCTCACGCACCTACAATAATAACTAATTTGTAGTTAATGATTACAGGTAAATAGCATGGTGGTCAACTTCAGAACTAAACATTTCACTCATACTTAAGGTCTAAGTTTGTAGAAACAGCTACTGAATATAATTTCCTCAAGTTGTTTGTTTTAGTTCAAAGCAGCATAATGAGCTACCCATGGGGATCAAAGCCCGAATTCTAGCATTCTAAGCTCCAGAGGCATCACTAGGCACTTAAAAGGTTTGGAGCTTGGACCAATAGGTGCGGGAATTTTTGGCGTTTCAGTACGACATCAATCATGGTTTTCTATTCAGATTTTTCAAGACACCAACTGGGTATTCGAGGTATGGGCCCTGTGTGCCAGTGTCAAGCAATGCCTCTGATAAGCTATCAAGCTTAGTGATGCACCACTAGGGGACAATTATTTAAATGTTGTTATAACTAATGGTTAACTATAGCTAACGAGTAGCCAGTGGGGGTCTAGTGTTTAGCCACTGACCATCAAGGGTCGTTGGCACTTTTTTTGCCAGTTAATAATCCAGGCATAATTAAAAATACTCAAACCAGTTGCGAACAATAGTCAAAAGTATTTAAAACAAAACTGGCTAGAAATATAGCTTTTATAGAAAAAAAAAATTATGATAATTGATCGACAACTTTATGTACTAGTTTGTTGCATAACTTTCAATGGGATTCCTCATATTTAAAATAGGAAGTAAGAACAGCGTTTTCAAGCAGCATTTTGATCATTTTTTTTTTCATTTCACATTAGAAGATATAATTATTATTAGGAACATGGGTAAAAAATTTAATAGTACAATAAAAAGTAGGAAACCAAAAATTTGACGCTTCCTGGAAATTCACATCAGTTAACTAGTTATATCTGCCAAGAGCATTTAACTTGTGAGCTTCTTTTTTTTTTTTTTT